TGATCAGGAGGCATGGCTTAGATCCATTGTCAGATTGGTTGTCCAGAGATCAAAGGCTTGAAAGGCCTTGATTATAGCTAACAGCTCTAGATGGTTTATATGAAGCTGTTTTTCTTTAGAATTCCATAGGGCGTGAATCCTGTGTCCTTGACAGTGAGCTCCCCATCTCAAAGGGCTGACGTCAGTTGTGACCCGTGTTGTGAGCTGGAGGGGAGCAAACGATTGACCGACAAGGAGATTTGGACGGTAAGTCTACCATGAAAGTTGGATGGATAGTTCTTTCGATACTAGTAGCTGTTTGTAGGGGTGATCCTCTAAGGCAGTGGTCCCCAACCTTGGGCCTCCAGACATTCTTGGACTTCAACTCCCAGAAATCCTGGCCTGCAGAGGTGGTGGTGAAGGCTTCTGGGAGTTGCAGTCCAAGAACATCTGGAGGCCCAAGGTTGGGGACCACTGCTCTAAGGGGTCAAAAATAGAGAGGAACCATGATTTTGAAGAGACCTCATTTTCAGTCTTGCATGTTGAATGACTGCCATTGTGGAGGTCATGAGCCCTAGTAGATGCTAGGCATGATGAGCTGTGACGTAATGAAGAGGTCAAAATACTTGGATTGCGTTTTTGAGTTTGTCGATCTTTTTTGTGGGAGGAAGGCACAAGCTTGGGAGGAGTCTAATTGAGCTCCTATGTAGGTAATGGTTTGAGATAGGTCGAGGCACGATTTTGAAAAATTTACTTTGAGCCCGAGATCTGCTAGGAGGTTTAGGGTAAAGTGGGCATCGTTCAATGTGGTCTGGTAGGAGTCTGAGATTATCAGCCAGTCATCTATGTATGGAAAGACTGTGATTCCCTGTAGACAGAGGAAGGCAGTGACAGGGGTGAGACACTTGGTGAAAGTTCTGGGTGCTGCTGACCAAAGGGGAGAGCGCAGAACTGATAGGCAGTATCATTGAAATGGAAACATAGAAATTTTTTATGTTGAGGGTGGATGGAGATATGGAAATAAGCGTCTTGTAAGTCAATGACTACGAACCAGTCTCTGAGAGAAAAAGGAGAGGGATTACAGTGTCGAGGGTAGTCATTCTGAATTGTTTGGCGTGAATGTAGTTGTTGAGTTTTCTGAGGTGAGTATTGGGCGGATACCTCCGTCTTTCTTTGGTACTTTCTTTGGTGAAGTAACAGGAATAGAAACCGTGACCAATATCTGACTGTGGAACTGGAAAGATAGCATGTTTCTGGAAAGAAAAAGTACTTCGTCTTGTAGGGCTGTAGAGAAGAGGGTTGTTTTTATGTGAGTGAAAGTGGGGGGATGGTCGAGTTCAATAAGGTAACCATGAGTGATGATAGAAAGGACCCAGTGATCATTGGTGATTCGAGTCCATGAACTGAGAAACAGCGAGAGACGGGTATGGAAAGTGTAGATCTCAGAGGAGTCAGGGATACGTTTGGTCTTTTTCTGCTGACAGCGAAATGGTTGTTGTCTTTGTTGTTGCTGTGTTTGAGATCAAAAGTTAGGACCAGATGAGGTTGATGGCATGGGAAATGGACGGTCAGAGGATTGTGATCTGTAAGTTTTGTATTGTGGCTGGAACGGCTGGTGTACAAAGGGCTACTTCCTTCATTGAGGGCACTGATATCTGAAAGTTTGCTGAGTTTAGTAAGACTTTGCTGTTTTGCAAATCTTATGTAAGTTGTCAGTAACTTCATTGGTCTTGTCATTAAATAGTCCAGCTCTGTCAAAGGGAAGGTCTTTGATACAGGTTTTTGTGTTATCAGAGACTCCAGCGGATCTGAGGCATGCATGGAGGCGTAGAGCAATGGAAGTAGCATTGCTTTCGACGCTGTGTCTGCTGTGTGTCTGGAAGCTATGCGCTGTTGTTTAGCTAGGTTTGAAGCTTCAAGATATATGTTTAAAGCTTCTGACTTGGTATCATCAGGGGCTGCCTAGAGTATAGGGAGTGCCCGATTCCAAAGTTGGCGCTGGTAGGCTCCCATGGCAGCTTGATAGTTCGTGACCCTCATAATGAAGGATGTGAGCGAATAGAGACGTCTCCCTAAAATATCATGTTTTCTCCCTTCTCTATTAGTTGGGGCCATGGAGGACTTCTTCCGAGCTTGAGACTGGTTAGATTTGAATTTGGGATGGGATGTTTTGAGAGAAATGGTCCATGTCATGAGTTTTGTAATGATTTTCTACTCTCTGAGAAATCTGGAGAGAAGATGGGAGCTTGTTCCATGATTCTTTTACGAGATCAAGCATTGCTGGAATAAAGGTAAGACTTAATGGAGGCACTTTATCTTAATTTATATCATCAAAGACTAAGTGTTGTTTTTGAGGCAGAGGTTCTTGTACTGCAAGCTCTAAAGATTTAGCCATTCTTAGAGCCATTTGACTATACGAAATAAAGTCCTCTGAGGGGGACGGTGGGTGGTTTTCTGCCACATCGTTGTTCACAGTAATGTAATTTGTATTGAGGTTACTGACTAAACTGGACCATAAGGTAAGCTGACCACCTAAGAATTGATGCTTTTTGATTGTGGTGCTGGAGGAGGCTCTTGAGAGTCCCCTGGACTGCAAGGAGAATAAACCTATACATTCTAAAGGAAATCAACCCTGAGTGCTCACTGGAAGGACAGATCCTGAAGCTCAGGCTCCAATACTTTGGCCATCTCATGAGAAGAGAAGACTCCCTAGGAAAGACCCTGATGTTGGGAAAGTGTGAAGGAAAGAGAAGGGGACGAGAGAGGATGAGATGGTTGGACAGTGTCACCAAAGCTACCAACATGAATTTGACTCAACTCCGAGAGGCAGTGGAAGACAGAAGGGCCTGGCACGCTCTGGTCCATGGGGTCACAAAGAGTCGGACACGACTAAAGGACTAAACAACCACCACCGATTAAAAGGGTTATAAGTAAAATAAATGTTTTAAATATGTTAAATATTAAGTTTAATTTAATCAAAAGATAAATTGATAACAGAATATATGAAGATATGCTATATAAAGGAAATATATATATGTAATAATTTTAACATAAAAGAGTAGAAAGGTGTTAAAAGTTTTCTAGTGCATTGTTCATCAGGGTAAACAAGGTTTATGTTTCACAAGCTGGACTATCGATGCCAAGCATTTAAAACAGGTTTCAAACAGTTTAAGACACTTTTACAGGAGTGAAAAGGGACTTCGCAAACCCATTCAAATGCACTGAGTCGGCTTCAATGCATTTCAATTGGGGAACCGCGTTTCCCTCAACGATGTTTCCTATGCCGATTTTCACTTAAGGACGGCAATTCGTTCCAATTGGAACGGATTAACCGGTTTTCAATGCATTCCTATGGGAAATGGTGTTTCACAGAATGATGTTTTCACAGAACGTTTTTTTTTTTGGAACCAATTAACATCGTTGTGCGAGGCACCACTGTAAGTGCACGTCCTCAAACTCTGTGGAACTACTTGTGTTCAATGGTGTCACCTTGTTTAATTAACTTCCAGTCTCTGAACTAGTATTTGGAGAATACAGTGACCACTGAACATACCGTGGTGGGCAGTCAATGATTTATAGCATTGTATCGCCCCCTTTTCTTGAGTAATTTTACAAGAAATATAGAGAACTCATTTGCTTGTCAAACAGCACAAGTCTAAAACAAAGTCAAATAGCTGTTAAGTTTCACTACTGGAACTAAAACTTTATTTCCATGTTGAGTACATTTTTCTTTGAAGCCAAGTACATTATAACTACTTAAAACACAGGACTTAGGTGAAGAATACTTACTCGGGTAAGCAGGTTAAGAAGGAATGTAAAACTAGAGAAGATTCTTCTTATAGTTTGATTTTTGGCAAACAATAAATACATCTCCAATCTCCCAAGACTGATTCTTTTCTATAAAAAGATTTCATATCTATGTCATAGCCATTCCTCAGAGAGAAAAATACTCATAAAAATTTCTTACGTTAAATACAGGTTACAAATAAATTATTTTTAAAATAAACACAAAACGCCTCTGAACTGTCATTTCTAAATACGAGTATTTTACTATTATGAAATGGGAGCTACAGATAATTCCTATAAAGTCATTCTTTTCCTAAAGCAACCCCCATCATGCTGCTTGTCTGCAAATGGAAGTATTGGATATTTAAGGTTCAAGCTCTGTAGGCCAAGTTGTAGCTTATACCTAACTGCTTGGTGTTTCAAATAGGGTTTTAATTCTTTCTCTCACTTCTCAGAAATATCCAGAACCCAAACATTTACTAACGGAAGTAATGCATCCTTCAGAAAAGGGCCTTTCTATAATTTTCACATTTTGTTATAAAAGAGACTTACCAGGTTTCTTGCACCATTTATCACACTCATCCCCCAGTCCATTGCAAGAAGCAATTAAACTGTTGCTGACCTTTAACCTGTGTGTGTGTGTATGTGTGTGTAAATTTTATATATATAAGAAGGCTACTCTTGTGCATGAAGGTCATTGTTTGGGGAACTAACCAAGCCACAGTCTTCCATAATGCTCTATGTATAATTACAATATACCAGAAACCCTTGTTAAGCACAATAATTAGTAATCTAGAAAAATCAGTATACTTCGTAACAGAATTTTAAAATATGGCTTTTCAAACATTTAGAAAAGCATATTATCTGGGTTTGCTCCATTTCATTAAGAGCTCTACTGAACCATATTCCAGATAATTGCTTAAAACCACCCAGGTGACACCAATCCCATATGTGAGCTAATGAACCAAAATGATAGTGCCTCTTCTAGAAAGTCTGACAGTCCTTGTCTTCTAGTAGCTATCTAAAGTATGGCTATACACCTGAGAAGTGGACACAACTCGTCAAGTCTTTCAGTAACCAATTTGTTCTTCAATAAGGAAGTCAAAGCATGTGTAGAAAGTGAATTAAGTGCAGTCATGAAAAGAGTACCTTTCATTACCATTAGGTATTAAAATAGTTAACTTCTGCATAGTGTCCCCAACCAGGGTGGGGGGAGGCTACTAATGTAAAAGGAGTTTGGCTAGTATAATGTTTTATTAAAGTTGTTTTAACAAAAAATAGTTAAGACATCTTTACAATTCAACATCAAATTGGACAAAAAGGCAAAATTAATGACCAAAATACAAAAAAGGTAAAAAAAAGTGCACTACTCCATTTAAGTCTTCTGCTTTGAAATTTGTTACAATATATGGAAAAATAAACCCAGAAGTGTCATTCTTTTAATATACCACTTCCATACCTGTCAATATTTTACATATACATGCTCTGTAGTAGAAGGAAATTCCTTAGTTCTAGAGCCAGCTCTCCTGCATGCCTGCTTTGAAATGAGTCCCACTGAGTGCAATAGGACTTATGCCCAGGTGGACATGCAAAGACAGCAGCCTTGCTCTTGGAATACAGAGGTGCACTTGGCAATGTCTGCTGAAGTAAGAAGTCCTTCCACATTTGGCATTCCACTTATATCTCTTGCTCTCTGGCAAGACCTATATACTTAATATATTCTTATTTATAGTATCCCACTGTTCCAAGGAAGAACAGAAGTTTATCAATTAAATGATAGATAACTGTAAGGAACCATGAGGTCTGTTCTTCTGTGGGATCTGAGGGAACAATCCTGATTAAAACATCAAAATAGTGCAGTTATCACAATAAAACGTAAGGCCGTTTTTTATTTGCTGATCAATGGACAAAAGGCAATGAATTCCCCCATTCCCAAATATTCCTTGAAAGTCTGTGCTCATAAAAATCATGAAAAGTTGGAAAGACGTAATTATTGAAACTTTAAATATATTTTACACAATCTTGTTTGTACAAAAATACAAGTTAAATATAAACATAAAGCAATGATACTATTATGCAAATCTGTTTTGTGGTATGCTACTATATATATAGTATATAGTAAAAAGTCCCAGCTCTGTCTCTCGATGAGGAGATCAATACCAGATTGAATCACTACTGGCCAAGGGCCTCTAGAAACACACTGAACAAGTTTTAAACAGCAGCTATTTCCCCAATTCCTTTTTAAAAAAAGATAGGGTGGTGATGTCCATAAACCAACAAATAATTTGGCTATAATGTAGCAAACACAAACACACAGATCTCTACAAGAAACCATTTGGAGTACATAATTGTTACACATATACAAACACGGAATGAAACTTTAGTGAGATGCTGCTGTTAGTTCACTAGTCTTCAGCCTGGCATTTTTTCTTACTTCATCAAACGAATAAGACTTCGTTACTACTCCATTCTTAAACACCGTATGAAGGAGATCCTGGAAATAAACATTATTTTATTTCAAGTTTCAGTAAAACAGAGTTTTGGATCAATATGTCAAGGAGTCTACAGTTGCGAATATAGAACCTCAAATGAGAAACCTCCTAAATGCACTTTATTTTAAGAGCCTAGCTACACGTATAATTAATAACACCCTGTTTCCCAAAAATAAGACCTAACCTGAAAATAAGCCCTAGTACGATTTTTCAGGATGCTCATAATGTAAGTCATACCCAAAAAATAAGCCCCACCTAAGTGAAACCCTGCCTTCCACCATTGTATAGCAACCAGAAGACGATGACATGACTGTATTTGAATAAATGTAGATTGTTGTACATGAAAAAAAAACATCCCCTGCAAATAAACTCTAATGCGTTTTTTGGAGCAAAAATTAATATAAGACCCGATCTTATTTTTGGAGAAACATGGTATCCAAGCCAACCCTCTAAGCACTTAATTACATTTACTTATTTATTTATATTTCACCTCACTATTGTGCCTTTCCTCCAGAGAGTTCATCCTCACAATAACCCTTCAAAGGAAGTCAGGATGAGTGAGAATGCGTCACTCAAGATTATTTAGTAAAATTTGAAGGCACAGTGGGGATCAGAATCTGGATCTCTCAAGCTGTAGTCAAATGCTAACCACTGCATCAAAGTACCCTCTCCTTTACAGACTATGTGACCTGGCTGCTGAAAAGCAGAGGAGCAGGAAAAATTTTCCACTAAAGGGAAAATAATATAATCAGAACATGTTAATTTTCATGTTACAAATATGGCAGGTATTCAGTTCTCAAGAGATCCCAACTGCAAGTAGGCTACTCAAATCTGGCAAAGTTAAGGTAAAGGTAAAGGTAAAGGTTCCCCTTGACAATTTTTGTCCAGTCGTGTCTGACTCTAGGGGGCGGCGCTCATCCCGCTCTTCAAGCCATAGAGCTAGCGTTTGTCCGAAGACAATCTTTCCGTGGTCACATGGCCAGTGTGATTTAGACACGGAACGCTGTTTACCTTCCCATCGAGATGGTACCTATTTATCTACTCGCATTTGCATGCCTTCGAACCGCTAGGTTGGCGGGAGCTAGGACAAGCAACGGGCGCTCACTCCGTCGCGTGGATTCGATCTTAGGACTGCTTGATCTTCTGACCCTGCAGCATAGGCTTCTGCGGTTTAGCCCACAGCGCCACCACGTCCCCATGGCAAAGTTAAAGCTTTACCTATATTCTTACTTTACACTTATGCTTATTAAGTTAAACTATTGGTCCACAATGCATTTTAAATAGTATTCTTTTAAAAATTGTGCCTGACATAGCTTTGCCACAAGCTTGGTCTAATTTCAGCTCAGCTGCAGACACAAGCAGACATGAAATCTGTATTTGCTTAGTTTTCTGTTTACTAGCTGTTGAGGCCACATTCCCATTGGAATCAATCTTCCAAAATACAGGATGAGGCAAATGGATATATTGTACTTTGCAGCAAATACAGGCAACCCAAGACCGACCTGCCATCCCCAGCTGTTCTCTGTGTGGCCTGCTAAGGCCCAGGGTTCCCTGCCCACTTTTCCACACTCCCCAGCTGATCAGTGGCAAACAGATCAATCTCCAAGAACGATCAGTTTCAGGAATTCTCTACTGGGGTGGGTGCATGCATGCATATCTATATAAGTGCATGCTCTGGGCTGACAACACACATACCTGTCCATATTCTTCAAGATCCCCCTTGCCTTCTTCTAGTGTAACAAAGTCTCCATTTGGTCTCCTGTGTAGAGACAACCTGCCTTTCTTTGATCTTTTGTTAGGATCAGCTACGGGATCTTTAAAGACATTTACCTAGAATTTAGAATAAAAGAAATTGTGTGTAAAATATACTCATGCTCCAAATAAGCCAGTGGATAAACAAAGTCAGTGGCATTGCTTTTTCCCCCAATTAAAAAACTGCATTCAAAGGTCTTACCCCAAGGCCATTGGTGACCACATAACTGCATTTGAATGAGCAATTCAAAAGATCCCTGGTTAGTTTCTGCAGCAAAGCTCCACCCGATCCAAAGGCAATATTTTCAATACTCCATTTCTGTTGCTTCATCCCCTCCACCATCTGAAAATGAAAGAAAGGATTTTAAGAGCTGAGCACGTAAGGTACATTTTCTGTGTTACTAATGTGCCATAGTATAGGTAAGGTAAAGGTTCCCCTTGACAAATTGTCCAGTCGTGTCCGACTCTAGGGAGTGGTGCTCATCCCCGTGTCCAAGCCGTAGAGCCAGCGTTTGTCCGAAGACAATCTTCCGTGGTCACGTGGCCAACGCAAGTAGACACAGAACGCCATTACCTTCCCATCGAGGTGGTACCTATTTATCTACTTGGATTTGCATGCTTTCGAACTGCTATGTTGGCAGGAGCTGGGACAAGCAACAGGAGCTCACTCCGTTGCATGGATTTGATCTTACAACTGCAGGTCTTCTGACCTTGCAGCGCAGAGGCTTCTGCAGTTTAACCTGCAGTGCCACCACGTCCCTCTATGCCATGGTATATGTATACGTAAATATGCATATTTATAAACACATGTATCTTATGGGCACAGGAATGAAAGCTATCTAAAGAATTCTCAATATTTAGCATTCTATCTTATTTTAAAAGAAATCATATAAAATAGTTACAAAAATCTGCTTTTAAATACTGCTTTTTGATCTCAGAGGGTCAATGTGAGGCAAACTAGTAAGTTCAATCCAATTAATTATCTTCTGGAGAAACAGCTCAATACATAAGTTTTTTTTTAAAAAATGTACTGACTCTGCAGCAGGGGTAACCAACTGAAAGCTATTTTCCAGACTGGCTAATTATTTTATTTTTTAAAAAATTCCATAAATTCAGCACTTTATGAAAATTAAAAATATGGATGTTTGCTATAATATCCAAAACCAATATGCAATAAGTAAAAATAATTGAATATATGGATACACAGTATCTATTTATAGAGAGATCAGAGCAGTACTAGAGACTTGGAGCTGTGATTTTCTGATAGTTGGTTAATAGTTCCTTAAGACTCTTACATCACAATTCAGCTGTTAGATAGCAAGTTCTGTATAATAAACTATCCACATTTAAGGAAAAGAAATATTGGAGAAACACCTGAGACGATTTCCTGCTCAAACCTGCCACTGACAAAAATCCCTCCTTAGGATCTTAGTCACGTTTTCTGTAGAGTTAGCAGTTTGCTGTTCAGCTTCAACAACAAATTGTGGCACCTAAACCAAACATTTTCTGGGTGCCCTGGTGGACACTAAGAGGCACTGGGAGCCATAAAAAAGGGGCCTGGGGCCTGAAGGTTGCCTGCTTTATAAGACAGAAGAAGATAAATGTATTTTTTTAAATGTCAAAACGGATAAACAGGCAGAGACATTCCTGTTTCCCTTTAGATAACGTTTATGTGCCATTGAAGTTCAAGGTTAGATAACCAGTCACCAACTGGTTACCATATCTACAGTAATTGCAGAGCAATCAAATTTTAGTCATTAATTATGACTACTTTCAGTTCAGTCTACAGAACTATTAACCATGTCAGTGTTACACATGAACATTTCTTAAAAGAAATCTAGCTTCTATTTCATTTAGCAGGTTAACATTTAAAGCTAAATGTCAGCATGCCTTATTCCTGACACTCAGTCTAATCATGTTTATCCTGAACCAAGTCTCAGATTTCAGTGGGACTTAACAGTGCAGTCCTAGATTCGGACGTCTGACTGAGTTCAGTGTGACTTATTCCCAGATATGCATGTATAGAAAACATTCCAAGCCGACAGACAACTTCTCTATTAGGCACACGTTTGGTTCACATTTTGTTCATTCCTTGGATTCATGTACACATGTACACATTATTAATATAATGAATCTGGGAGGAAACCCTTTTATCAAGACCACAGGAGTAATTGCTGAAATTATCTGTAACATGCTGATTTTCCCCCCATGTAGGCATGGATGAAAGCCTCTCATTAAAGCAGATACTACATGTTTAAAATAGGCAACGAGATAATTTGGGGACAGATAAGTTTTCTTTTTTGGTGTATTTTTAAGGGAGATTTATAGATTTTATAGGAAGGAATGTAGTTCAGGAATTGTCACAGATAACAGCAGGAGTAGCTGAAGTTGCTGGCCTAGGCAAACTTTGCCCACTTTTTCCGTTCCAAGTGAGGACAGATTTCAGAGGTAGAAACCTGGCTTCATACTAACGCAATATGGTACCCATGCAGGAGGAGCAGGCTTCTAAACCTTTCATACTGCAGTTCTGATCCAAGCTCACATATGCAAAATGGCTTTCTCCTGAATTAAGAAGACACTGGGAATTCTAACAAAGAACTTCCAGGTCATGTCCAGTTTCACCAGAAGTCTCATCATTGGAGTAGGATTTCCAATAAGGAGAAAATAGGTTTAAAGTTCAAATTGCAAGTTAAACTACCACTGCCACCAGGTATTACTTAGCTTCTGAGCCTCTGGAATAGGTTAGGAGAGAATATGGCAGGGTACACTGGCTAGTCATTCCCACAAATGGTCCACTAAAACAGTTCTCGTACATTTATGTCTGCGAATATGCAGTATTTAGAACCTATTTTGATCTGCTTTTGGAGTAGTGATTATAGTCTAATCTCTACTAAGTACATTTAGCTGTTCTCTGAACATCTTTACAATTAAAAATTGATGTATCTGTATTCATGTTGTGTCATTCCAAAGTATACATACTTGCATTAAGCTTTAAAAGTGCACTTAAGATAATGGCATTTGGTTTCTAGTTAAATAAAGACTTACTAAGCTTCTAGCCCAGAGTGTTATACTCACTTATTTGGGAGCAAGCTCCTCTGAATTCAGTGAGTATTACTTTCAAGCATGCACAGAACTGTACTGTGAAAACACATCTTTTGATGATACATTCAGATTAAAGAAAATATTTTATATCCTCTTTCCCCAAGCTTCTAAAGGAAGCATGGTTAGTATAACAAAGTTTAGAAACAATAACTTGAACACTAAGACATTAACTGTTTTTTCTTCCTAGTATTTGATTTACTTAGTACTTGAGAGCGGCCACTGAAATAGCCATTGATATATTAATAAAAAGCACACCTCTTGTAATGTATTAATATCTACACCATCTCCTTGAATTATTCTGAGGTAAGGAGGCAACACTTTATAGCCTTTTTCATTTTCTGTAATTGGGAACTTCTTGCCTAAAATTTCCAAAACCTGCAAAAAAAAGAAAAAGAAAAGAAAAGAAAAGAAAGAAAAAAGAAAGCTTTAAAGTTCAGCAATTTTGTCCACTACTCCATTGAAAGAAAGTTATATCACACAGATCACACAGATGTTTGTAAGCATTTAGATACAACACATTTTTAAAGAACATGAAGGAGAAAAAACTCCTAAGGGAATTTGGGCCTAAATCCAACATACTGTTAGCAGAAAAGAACAGTGTGCCACCAGAATTGTTATTTTTCCCAGCTGTATACATACATTTATTCTTATGATTCCAGACATGCTATCTGTTGCAGAACTGTAAATCTCACTGTATTCTCCCCGTCCCATGAAAACACATAGTCTGGAATTAGGGGTATGCAAATGTAATGTCATTTGTATTAGTGGAATGACACCTTTTGAATCGGACTTTGCTCCATGTACTGAACAATACTGAAGGTATTGTTTGTGAAGGGCTAGAACTTTGTAGTACAGCACATGTCTTGTGTGCAGAAAGGCCCAGATTCAACCCATGACATCTCTAGGTAAGGCTGGGAAAGACCTTTGCCCAAGTCTGGAGGCCTATTGACAGTCAGTGTAGATCTATGAGATCCAGATTATCTGAACCAAAATGTAGGAGCAGGTGATACATTAGACCACTTAAAAAAATCAAACAACAAATAGCTAGCTTTCAATGATACTGTCATATTTTTCTGTGTATAAGACACCCTCCTTTTCCAACCCAAAATTTAGAAATCTAAGTGGGGTTTAGCAAGTGGAGGGGAAAAGCAGGGATTTCTTGCTAACCCCGCTTAGCAAGTAGAGGGGGGAAAAGCAGGGATCAAAGCACTTTGATGATTCCTGCTTTCCCCCTCCACTTCCTTGCAAAGAAAATGCTTTCCCCCTCCTCTTTCTTCACAAGAATCAAGCAGAAATCAAAGCGCTTTGATGATTTCTGCTTCCACCCTCCACTTTCTTTGAATAAAGTGCTTTCCCCCTCCACTTTCTTCTCAAGAAAGTGGAGGGGAAAAGCAGGAATTATCAAAGTGCTTTGATCCCTCCCCCTGTCCTTACTTCCGTGTATAAGACAACCTTCAATTTTTCATCTAAAGATTTTAGATAAAAGTATCATCTAATACATGGAAAAATATGGTAATTCATCTTCTTCAGACTACACCTGAAGAAGATGAATTATCATCAAAAGCTAGCTGTTTGTTGTTTGATTTTTTTTTTAGTGGTCTAATAAATCACCTGTTCCCATATTTGTATTGTTTTGGAGACCACATGGCCCTTGTCTGATTTTTTTCTGAACCAAAATCATAAATGTTTGCATTCTAGCAGTAGATATGGGCAGATATGAGTGAAATTATTCTCACCTCTTTATACAACATCTAATAAAAAAAAGTCACCGCATCCAAGCATTCTCCTTCCTTAACTTGTATAGGATTTATCCAACCAAATTTGTACTTTGGGCAACAAAGCAGATAAACTAGTACTTATAACCTGGAGAAAGGCAGGCAATGGGCTATGGTGGGGGAAAGCCTTGTGGTCTGTACTGATAAGCTCAGAGATCTACCTCTGACCTATGGAAATGCAAGTTCCCCACCACTGGTGCTCACACTACTAAGCTAGATGAATCAGTGATCTTAATATAGCACAGCTCCCTATATTTAGAAATAGAAAGCACACAGAGATACTAATAAAAGTCAACCAGGATTTCAATGCTGGATTCTCAACAGATGCATCCTTCCTAAGCTCAACACTTTTTGTTTGCTTAGAATCAAGATAGTGATACAGCTGATGGCAGGTAGCACTTTGTGAAGCATCCTTACCACAGACATTCAAAAGTATTCCCACTTCAGAAATGGCTGTAAGAGTCACAATATTGGGCTGAAGTGGGGATGGGACAATGTTCTTTGGATCTGATAATAGTCTTTTGTTAAGCGTCTGTGTTGTTCCTTTTTAATGGAACAATATTTTTAAAAAATAGTTAAACTGACATGAGCTCTGTTAAGTAACCACAGAAAGTCAAAACATGTAACTATTTTGAAACAAATAAATACTACACTCTTAAATGTGCTTTCAGGAAGGTGTTAAATTATGCTATATCTGTCTAGTGCAACTAAGTGCCAATTTAAACAAACTAGATAAATTTAAGTTTGTTGTTGTAGACAGCTGCACCTGAAACATTTGTGATTGTTTATCAAGCACTTCGTTGCACTCATAAACTAAAATCATTAACTTTTACTGGCTAAGCAAAGGTTCCATACATGTATAGCAGTGTTATTCCTGTTGTGTAGTCTGAATATCTGAAAGCCAAATTTGAAATTGCGAAATTTCAGACAATATTCTCATTGTTTCTGTTCTGGACAGAAACTGATACTGGACGTTTTTTGTACATTCCAATTACTATTGTTTGCACTTTGCAACAGAACCACAAAATGAAAGCTCCTATTTGTTCCACCTAGTTCATGACCATCTTTTCATTGTATCTTCCATGACATTAGGGGTTGAAGAATGGAATAATAATTTTAGTAGCTAAATATAAGGATGAAAGCAATTAAAATACTGGGGATGGAAAGTGCATACTATTCTGCACTAGGATGTAGGGTCCTAAGAACCACACAGAAGAAGCCTCCATTCAAATTTTGGGGAATTCCATGATAGCACAACCATAGCCTACTCAATTTAGCTGTCTTCTGTCATGTTTTTTTTGTGGGGGGGTGTTATCCACGAAGCTGCTATGGGGGGACAGGAGATGAGAGTCTGCTTCTAGAAGTCCAGTTTCATGAGTCTAATCCAGATCAAACCCACTAGGTTTAAAACACCCATGTTTCTTTCATATAAACTCATTAAGCAATTTTAAAACTTTGAGAGAATCTTAAACCATTACCTTTAGCACAGTGTCAAGAGGGTTTCCTGAATCCGGCCTAATAATCAGTGGAGCTTCTGCACTTCTTGATTCAATTAAACGCCTTAAATCTTCACCCCATATTCTTTCACAAGCATTGTAAATGTCGTAACTGTCACTGACCACAGATACAGGCACTGAAGAAAACTGTGTCACAATGTGTTCAAAAGCATCTTTTTCATGGTCCTTCCCCCAAGCTGTTATAGTACTAGAGGAAAAGTAAATATTTCAGCAGACATGTTATTAACTCAAGAGTGTTTACGTGTGCGAAGCTTCATTTTCCTTCTAGCAAATAAAGCACAGTATTAGATGAGACTATAATCTCTTCTAAATAAATCCATTCCTCACTCATAAACTGTACAGGTTTCAATTTGTAACATTTTACAATGTGTTACATATTTACATGGTGCTCTTACCCCTGAGATATATATTTTAAATCTATTGTCCCATGGGCGTTTTTGGCTACTCTGAAAGCAGATACTGACATACCAAGAATAATGCTCACTCTCAAGACTGATATTGAATCAATCAGATTTACACAAGTGTCGTTCCATCACTCAGTCATTGGTTCCATGGGCCTATTTTAATCAAGACTAGCCATCAGATTTAGGGCACAGATTGCAATTTGACTTCAGAGACAGGTTGGTACCCAAAATTTACCTCCAGTTTGGTCACCACTATAGTAAATTCAAACTGCAAGAAAAAAAAACCTAATACAGAAAGCACCTTTAAAAAAATAAATTTCTATAAGATGAATGTACATACACATAGGCGTATTATGTACTGTAAATCAGTAAAGGAAACTTCCTCAGATAGTAAAGTTTAAAAAAAAATACATTTCCATCTGTAATATTCATATGGGCAGAATGAACATAGCTTGTGTTAGTAAACTAAGAATAGAGGTGCAACATATGAAAAGTCAAGGAAGTGTGAAGTTACCTGTGCTCAGCAGCTGGAACAGAATAGCCTGGTACAGGGTCTTTTGTTCCATAATATTTCTTGATTAAAGCAATTCCTGCCACTGTATCAGTTCCTTTAAAGTTCACCAAATGTGCAGACGCTCCTATTCCTGCAGTCTGGGAACAAGACATGTCTGTGAATTACCAGAACAGCAAAGACTTGAACATTCTGTTTTAGTGCACAGTAATTTAACATTAAGGACTTTCTCACTTTTACAATTAACAGCTAAAGGAGAGCTTCTATTGCAGTCTAAGGTTACATCAGTGGTAGGAAAACTGCTGTCCTCCAGATGTTTCAGACTGCAACACCAAAATATGCAACAAGTAGCTCTGGTAGATGAGATGGCTGATGGGAAAATAACTGGAGCATAACAGGTTGCAGATAAAACAGGTTTTCAAAGTTTTGTTTTGACATTCTGTTTTACACAGAATTTCCAGACACAGGAACCAAGAATAGCTGATCCAAAATTCTGTATGAGCTCCATTCAGCAATAAGGACCCTGAATTATTGGAAAAAAAACATGTTACCTCTTGCGAAGAGACCCCTCTGTAACCAAAGTCATGTAGTTTGTACTCCAGTCCTTCTAAACTTCCTGAGGTTTCTAGCAGATATTTTGCCAATATTTTCTTTTGTTCTCTGGAATTTGTTGCTACTGTTATGGGATACCATGACTGCACAAGGATAGTCTAGAAAAAGATGAAATGTGCAATAAATAAGAGCAAATATATCCACTGTTGGCTCTAAAGTACATATAACAGCAAAAATCAGAATGATTCATGTGAATGAGAACAGTAATATAGCAATGAAATTATTTATGGTAGGGGTTATACATGTAGGTACATAGGTACCCTATTTATAAATATCTAAGAGGGAGGCATACTAGATCAAACCCAAGTCCTCTGTGGTCCAGCATTCTGCTACTATACTGGATAACCAAATATCTATGGGAAGCCCTGATGCAAGATTTTATGTGCAAAAACATGCTCCTGGTCATGTATTTCATCAATTGATAATGGAGCTCATGTCTGTCTGTCATGACTAGCAGACACTGGAGAGGCTTTATAGTCCTTGAATTTGTCTATTCTCCTTCTAAAACCAACTTAGGTGATGGCCATCACTACATCCTGCGGCAGTAAAAGCCATAGTTTAAATATATGATCTATAAAGAAGTACTTGATGTACAATTCTTCTATAAGCCTGACTATATGACCTTGGATTCCAGTGTGACAAGAGGGCAGGAAGGTTTCTCCCAAACCACTTCTTCCACACCAAGCACAATTCCACATACATTGATCATGTCCCTGCTTTCCTTATGGTAAAATACTGCATGCTTTGAAAGCTTCTCTTCTAGAGAGCTTGGTCCAGCCCCTTGATCATTGGGATTGCTCTTTTCCAGCTCTGCAATTTTTCTGATGTGTGATGTCAAAAACTGCATATAGTAGTGTGGTCACACCTTTCATTTGCATAGAGACATTATATAATTGTTTTATTTTTGTTTGTTTTTAAAATTCCTGTCACAGCAGCCACATGAATTAAAATTTGGGTCAAGCTATTTACAACAAAACCAAGATCTGCTTCCTGGTTAATCACTTCCAGCTCTGACCCCATCAGGATGTGAGTGAAGCCAGAATTTTTCCTTGATTTCTCTCATGTCCTAGTTGCTTAAACTGAACCATATTTGTCGTATTAATGCCCATTTTTGCAACCTGAAGAATTTTTGCCAACCATAATTTGATGTCATTAGTAAACATGGCCACCTGGTGGCTCACCATGATCTCCAGATAATTTATAAACAAGTTTTTTAAAGTTGGTGCTTCCTAATACACATCCATGGCAGATTCTATCACTCAGATTTCTATTGCTTGTTTCACAGCACCTTTCACCAAGAAAAGATTTGTTTTACAACGTTAAATTATTTTTTATTATTTTACAGCTATTTGAAGTTCCTAAAAAAATCTACACAAATAATCCCATAACTAAAAAGCAGCAGTAAAGATAAAATCTGAGCAGTTCTGGCAAACTGTTTGTTTGTTTGTTTTCAACTAATTAGGGGGGAAATTAATGTGGTGGTAACCATAACAAAATGTGAACAAAAAAGATAGACAACAAGACAATGAAATATTGGCTGAAAAACACTTTTGATGTAACTGTATGCTGTGCAAGTAGGATAGCATCATCTGTGGCATTAATATTTTATTTAGTTGGAAGCTTCCCATTACCCCTCCCCTCAGATTCCAAATCTCCCTAGGGCTACCTTTCAACTTGGGGAAACCTTTGGGAGTCCTGGGACGGGGTGGGGTGAATGTTTAACATCCAAAAATTGCCACTGGAACACCACTTCTGGGATTGGAACTGTTGGTAGTGATTCAGCTGCCAACTGTGGACATTAAAGGCTCTCCTCATCCCAAGGCCTACAAAGACTTCCTCAGGCCAAACGGAATCCTTAGGGAGCCTTGGAACCTGAAGTGGGGAGTGGGTGGGTTGAAAGCTTTCAATTCAATTAAAATAATATTACAGTTACATTATGGTGGTATTCTACTAGTACAGTATAAAGTTACTTAACAAGACTTCAGCCACTAGATACATGAAAGAATGCCCATATACCAGTCTTTTTACCAGACTCCATCTGCACAACATACTACAGTATATATATGCTACAACTTATTGTCTACTCTTCCCCCACAAAACCCTGCTTCCCTTGATCTCAGGAACATTCATACATACAGTATGTGAACGAGAAAACAATGGAGAACTGCTGCTGTTCACAAAGCAGCAGGAAAACAGGTACAGCAGCCAGTTCTTCATTACCACTTCCAGCACGATTAGAAATCAGAAGTGAAGACAACCAGGCTAAATGCAAGGCTTATGTACCTGAGTGTCTCATATTACCCTAAATGATCTGCTGCCTTTTGGTCAAAAAAGAGTGAGCGCAACATTTTCATAGCATAAGAATACACGGTCCTTAGCTCATGCTCTATATTGAAATGTATGGAAAGCTGCCTTTGCACTAACTAGTACTGAGCAGAGCACACACTGTTTGTATTCTTAAGGAACCTGCAACCCCAAGGTACTGAATTTATGAACCAATCAGCTGAATGTACAAATAGTGCTGGGTGTATCCTGAGGACAGGAAAGAGAGCCAAGCACATTAATATACTCAATGCATTAAGAATAATGCAAAATAACTCGTCACTGTAAAAATAAATACAGTCTAAAGACATTTGAACATGATACCATTATCACAAAGTATATTTGTTTATGTATTTCCCTGTTTGTTCATATCAAGGGCAGAACACCACCATTTAAAAGTGGCTTGAAATACATTATCAGGTCACAGTGAAAATGGAAGCAAATTAACTACAGAGATCTCAATCAGAGAGATATTTTTTACCACTTACCTCAACCCAGTTTGTGAGCCAGTAACAGTCTGGATCAGTGTTTTCGACAGTGAATAGTACATTTCCTCTGGGAATGACAGAGCCCTCGGGGACAGCTTTTATTTCTATGGGAAGACGCCCTTCATATTTCTGTTATACAAAAAAATAAACTAACAATAACTATCTGGAAATAGCCAAATACAGTCAGTTATTTTATTGGCTAAAGAATAGGTTTTAGTACTTACGTTTGTTTTTAATTCTATAATTTATTCCTTCAAATGAGATTTACTCAAAATTTTCACTGCTAAACTTCAGGCCTAATTCAAACACTAAATGACAAAACCTGGCACACAACTGAGTCCTAATATTTTATTTTCCTTTCATTTTTTTTACTTCTTTCTTTTTCTACAATCTGGCAGTTGTTTTAACATTGGCTGCCATGTTTCAAGGGGACATGGTGGTGCTGTGGGTTAAACCACAGAACCCTCTGTGCTGCAGGATCAGAAGACCTGCAGTCATAAGATCAAATCCACGCGATGGAGTGAGCTCCCTCACTTGTCGCAGCTCCTGCCAACCTATTTATTTATTTGATTTGATTTGTACCCCGCCCATCTGGTCTATAAGACCACCTAGCAGTTTGAAAGCATGTAAATGCGAGTAGATAAATAGGTACCACCTTGGTGGGAAGGTAACGGCGTTCTGTGTCTAGTCGCGCTGGCCACGTGACCACGGAAACTGTACTCAGACAAACGCTGGCTCTATGGCTTGGAAACAGGGATGAACACCACTCCCTAGAGTCGGACATGACTGGACTAAATGTCAAGGGGAACCTTTACCTACCATGGTTCAACTCACATTCAGAGAGTGAGTTGCACAATAGCCAGTAAGTATCCTCTTGTGGAACTTACCAGGGAGGCACAATTGATATCACAAAGTGCTGCAGATTTCCAATTAAAGAGTTCTTTTTTAATTTCAGGGTGTGTGCAACTCATGTGCAATGTGATGAAATCCTGCACACACATACCTCAAATAAAGTAGAACTTTTTAACTGGTGGCAATCTGTCACTCCCAGTAACATCATTCTTGCTATCCAGCAGAGTTACACACAAGGAAGCTGGACAAACCTTTTACAAAGTAAAATGTTGGTTCAACAGTAAATTTAAGACAATGCTGTAGCTAGCCAAGATTCCTTACAAAGGCATCAACAAATTGCATTCCATCCAAATGTTTTAGTTTCCTCTGACATGAAGTACTATAACATTTGAAGTATAAAAGTGGTTTTCTCATACTATCAGTCATGTATAATTAGCAAGGGATATTTACTTATCAGACGAATGCTGCAAATTCTTTTTGAATCTGTCACCATTTGCTATTCTAAACAGAATTTTTTTCAGCTCAATTTCTTTGCATTGGCAATAAATCCCTTACCTGAAACTGCTTGCTAGGAATTTGAACATATGATCCCTGCTTTACTCTTTATTTTATTTATTTTATTTAGACTTCTACCCCGCCCATCTAAATCAAAGGTCTTTAGACTTGAAAAAATTACTCTCAGCAGTTAAACCTATCAAATTCAACTCAAGAAGCTAAGCACCTGTCAACTATGACCTAATAATCATTACGTGCAAACTTGTGGTAAATTTTAACACCTATTTATAAGTGGAGGAGGATTAGTATTCCCCTAAATTAAAGTGTTCAATGATTATTATTTTACCTCAAGAATGTAGTTCCACCCCGTTTCATTGAAAACATCATCTTGAAAATGTTCCTTGTATACCTCTTTGGCTTCCTGAATTTTCTCTTTGGTTACCACTTTGCCTATGATGAAAAACAAGTGTGTCAGTTGCGTGATCTATATATATACAAATAACCAGCAACACACAAGTATGCCTTCTAAAAGTTGCTCATTTCCTGCAGCACACATGTAGTGGGGTGGAATTAGCCAAATAAATTATAACAATTTTTCCCTTATGGCAAGTGTGATTCCCTGTGGTTTAATAACTGAGATAGATTCCAAACAGTAAATCATATTTCCAAGGAAGCATTCACTTGCTTATACTTCATCATCATAAACATAACCTACTTCAAAGCTAATTCTATTGGTTAAAGAAAAATGCATTGCTAAATAAATATTTTATTATCAAAGCATAAAGGGAATCACATATCCACTTCAGCTAATAGCAAACACACAATGTTTTTCAATGCATACGGGTAAGCAGTTACATGAGATGAGGGGGATTATATACGAGAGCAGTTTCAAGTATTTAAAGGAAGCATGGACTCATACTGAATCCTTTTTTTGTCTCGGTCACCCTATTTTATGGCAAGGAGAAAACAGATTGCTGGATACTAAGCTGAATAAAATGAAAATGATCTAAAAGGAAACCAATGAATGCTATTAACAAAAGTATCAATTTAGGTTATCCAAAAGAAGGCTCTGTTGATGTTGCACTTTCAGAACCCAACAGTGTTATGGAGGATCTGCATCACTGCTTAAAGGTGATTTGGACCCTTCTAGACTCTGGAGACATTATTTCCGCTTTTCCTCCAGGTTTCTAGAAGCTGCAGAATTCCTATCTGTGAACTGGTGGGCTCCGCTCAAGGGCTTTTCTGAAGTATTATAACATACAGAGTGAACTCATACTGTTCCAAGTTATACCATTATATGGTGGCAATTTTCTTATGCAATCTTGGCTCAATGAAAATTGACAATACATAACGGCTGCATTTATTTCTTTTCCAAACAGTGCTCCCTGCAGCCAACAGGGATACAAAGTGAAACCCAAGACCAGAATAATGTAGGTAGATAAAATCAATTAAAATAGCAGATTAAATACACTGCATCATTTATAGAAATGGCTTTGCTTGCTAGCTGAAGATAACTGGAGAAACTAGTTCAGCCTTCCTTGGAAAGGAGACTCAGAGCTCAGGAGAAGTCATGAAGGACCTGTCTCAAATCCCATGTTTCAGATGATAGGGCAGAACGAATGGCCCCATGTGAAAACATGACACTGGTTTGTATGGGAGTAATGTGTTTTTTTAGTAAATGTAGTCTCACATTAGGAAAGGATTTGAACATAATGAGCACTCTGAATTACGAACAGTAACCAGTGAAGCTGCTGCAACACAAATCATATGCTACCTCTAACTGGATCTGGCGGCAACATTCTGAGCTAGTGAAGTTTCTGAATACTCTTCAAAGATATTAATGTGTCCAAACAAAAAGTGACGAAGGCATGTTTCACTATATTATTGTATATTGCCCTGAATATATTGTATGTGGCAGATACCCTTTTAAAACAGAAGAAAGAGTTGCAATATCTGACATCAGCAGGTGCAGCTGTTGTAATCGCCTTAGACTGTTTGTAAATGTTTCTTATATCAAGATTCAGGGGAGTCTCTGAGTATACCCCAACAGGAAAACTAAGTCACCAAAGAAAATGTACATCTAAATCATGTTCAGCCTCTATTCCCCTCATCTTCCTTTCTGCTAGCTACAGCCATTCCTGTCTTATCTGGATTAACATACAAGGTGTTTGTCCTTACTTCAGCAGATCCATTGCTATTAGATGAAAAGGAGATAAAATCTGGTGTCTATCAACATATTAAGACACAGAATGCTGAAATTTTGTATAACTTCATCTAATAGCTTCATGTAGCTATGGAACACATGGAAGATGAAACTCTGAAGGACAACACAGGCCAAGAGCAGGCAATCTAATGGCCTCCAGATGTTTGGGACTATAAAATTCCCTTAGAATTAGCTATCCTGATTGTGAATGACAGAAATTGTAGTTCAGAAAGTGTTATAAGTATGTATACAAGCAAAACTTATTCCTACTTGTTAACTTCTACCACAGACCAGTGGGCCAGCAAAACCTATTCCTACTTTGTTAACTTCTACCACAGACCAGTGGGCCAGACAGTGAGGAATCTCCCTGGACTCTTTTCTGAAGAAAATGATGAACCACTGTAAAATAACGCTACCAAGTCTCATCCCATGAAGGGTACCATGATAAATGGTATCAAAAGCTGTGGAGAGGTTCTGCAAAACCAACAGGTACACTTTCTCCTGTCCAGTTCTACGTACAGATGGTTCATTCATATAACTATAACTGGATCTGAAGTTGGAATAAAATGTGTGTGGATAATCATCATGATCCAGGAATACCTGAAGGTAAGATATTGCTTCACATATAAACACATGGCTCAGAATTGACTGTTGGAGACTGTCCTGAAAGTACCCACTTTAGTGGGATTCTGGGAGGTTTTTTAAATTATCTTGACACTACCTCTTTTAGTTCTTCACCTCTACACTTTAATGGAATCTTATGGAAAATATACACAGCACTTCTTGGTTAGTTATTTCTCAGACATTTTAGTATCTAAACATTTACAACAATGTGCACAAAGAAAAGCAACTTATAAAAATGTGATGTACAACATTTACTGCATCTAGTGAAGACATTTAGAAAGAGGTTGCAAGAGGCTCCTGTTCAAGCTGTAAGGATAACCCAATGCCAAACTGAGTAGACACCACACAGCAAAACTAGTCATTTATCTCTCTCTGTGTGTATACAAGACATATTTGGACACACACTATGCACATATGGGAATAATTTAAAAGTTAAGAGTAGAATTAAAAAACTTGAGGTTTCAGTTTTCACTGAATTAAGACATTTGAGAGCTATTCATAGTAGAAACAATTTAGACATAACGTGAAAAATTATGTCATTTATGTGCAAATATATTTAACAACTCTAGGAGGAAATACCTTTTAAGTATTTGTTAAGAATGTACTGCAACCCGTAAAAAACAGTCTCCTCATATTTCACCTTCCTAAATTTGGAGTTCTCAGTCTTCTTTTCACGACATTCAAAGTACGAATACACTTTACTTGTATTGGGTGGATACTGTTTATAATGTGTCACCTATAACAAGAAAAGCACCAGTAAGAAATCTTTTAAGCAAATCCAAAAAAGAAAATACTTAAAATAAACAATCGTTATGACATACAAATCCCAGCAAGGATCAACTTCTTTCTTCACCTTTCCAGCTTGGCCTGGCAAGCCTAAAGTCATGCAGCGTTGAAAAGCAGGGAGTATTTAATCATACCACTTCCCCTGCTGGCAGCTCATGAAAACAATGATTTTCAGTTTTCTGTCCTTCCAGCTGCCCAAGCAATACATCATTGCTATTGAATATTTACCCATGTGACTTCTCTTCTACACAATGTGCACAACTTTTCTACAACTGACAAATCAAACTGATCAGGATTCTGAACAAATGTGAACTGCCAGTTTGGTCATTTTGAACTTAGCAGCTCCACTGTCAGCACAGACGTATGCCATTAGAAATGAAGCTGTTTTTCAGAAATATTGTTGGTTTTATTACAAGGTTTTATTCAAGCACAAACCAAGTAACACAAGTTTTGCTTTTAAGTTATTTCTCTGACAGATCTTGTTTGTATATGATTACAGGCAGCAATCATCAACAAATAGCCATGTTCTTGTCTGCACCATAAGGAGAAAGCTTTGCCTTATCCATAAAAAAAGCTCTTTTTAGATCTCACCTAAAGAGTTTCAACATATAAGCTATATATAAGCATGAAAAAACTGTAAACCAGATTTTAATTTCCACAACAGCAATACAGATTATAAGGACATGGCCTTTCCCGCACCAATTACAATACCATTATAAGTACTTTAAATTTTGAAGGATATATTACCCAGAAAAGTGAAAAACAAATACTGGCTTTATATTTTAATCAAAACAAATTTCAATAAATGACTAGAAGATCAGTAGTGGCAAATTCTTCTAAAAGAGGTTTAACCCAAAGTAATCAAAAACTGGATGTTATACACAGACCATTAGTTTGATGACACTTCTATGGGGAAGTATCTCCTAGCTTACTTTAAAATACGTACTTCTGACATTTAAGACCGAAGCCTTTTATTTTTCCCCTTTCTTCAAACTAATGCTATAGATTAAGATCTTTAAAAGTGAAGTTTTCTTTTCTACCACTTATATTTTTTAATTTTTTGCATTTCTCTCAGCTTGGGCAATGTATCTGACTGGTCAGTTTCACTCTGTTTTTGATACACCAGTACAATGCTGTGGTATTTGGATTTCCAACACTGCAAGGGAATTTTTGATAGGGGTAAAAAAAGCATAACAGTAAGAGTATCAGATATGTATTCGCGAAGGCTTTCACAGCCGGGATCTAATGATTGTTGTGGGTTCTTCGGGCTCTTTGGCCGTGTTCTGAAGGTTGTTCTTCCTGACGTTTCACCAGACAGAGTTCCTACTCCAGTCCTCTGAAGATGCCGGCCTCAGAGACTGGCGAAACGTCAGGAAGAACAATCTTCAGAACATGGCCAAAGAGCCCGAAAAACCCACAACAATCATTAGTACCAGATATGTAGATCTAGAAATCCTAAATTTGAGCACAAAGTGTATGGCAATGTGCAAGTATCTTCAAAACGTCAGAGAAATAAAGCATTCTTAAATTCACTAAACTGGTTTGAGGGTCTTTTCATCGAGGGCCTAGCTCAGGCCTAAATACAGGGTACAAGTGCATATCAACTGTTATATAAATAAGGCATAATTTTCCATGGCATACCCAGGTTGGCCACCAGAAACATTTAAAGTATTTAAAAGCGTCCTATCCCTTCCTTTTAAGTTTCAAGGTTCCCTAGAGCTTCCTTTTGCCCTGACAAATCCTTTGGGGTGTGTGTGAGAAGGCTTTAATATTTTAAAAAATTGCAGCCAGATTACCGGCAGCAGCAAACTGGTGGTGATTTTTTTCCAGCATTAAGCCTCCCCCCCCCCCAATCTCAAGGTTTCCAAATGATTCCCAAGGGCAAAAGGAAGTCCTGGGGAGTGTTGGAACCTAAAAGGATGGGATAAGAAGCTTTTAAATACAGTACTTTAAATGCTTCTGGCACCCAACCTGGGTTATATCAGCACAATGTTATGGAACAGGTTTTTGCCCATTATCTACAATGATAGCATTTGCAAAAATCATTAGTTGTTGAACAACTTCAGATGCCAATACACAGGCCTGCAATGCATGTTTGTATTTTGGACAAAAAAGTACTGGATGCCTAACAAAATCAGCTTAATATGAAGAGTTGATTCAAAAACTTCTTCACATTCCATATAACATGAAATCCCAGATCATAAATACTATGCAGCTTAGTAATGATTATATGCATTCATCCTAAGTATGATACATACTAAATGCCAATGAGTTAGATTAATCAAAGTGAAAGGGGGAAAATACCTTATATCTACTAGGAAACAAAACGTCCTGTAGCACTATAAGTCACATAATTTATTTACTTCCTTAAATTTTCTCTGCATCACTGTTATTTTTTTCTCATTGCCACTGCCTCCAAAACAACAGAAGGAAGCTAGTAAGACAAGCAAGTGTCTCAATAGTTCTGCAATTGAGTTTATAAAATACACTTCAAACCAGGTTTCTTTGCCCATCTACACATGGAAACCACAACTATGTAATTTACAGGCTTCCTTTCTATATTATGCTGTATATGTGCCTTTCCAAGTAAAGTATTAGAAAGCTGCAAATAGGGTTAAAATTTTACAGCTTATCCGTGAAAATGGGAAGCTACCCAATTAATACAATTACATATTTTGAGGGAATGATAACAGCTCTTTAGTTTTGACCATAATGGAAGACACTGGGGATAACCTTTACAGAACTTGAACACCTTAGAGAATCCTCCCATCAGAGATTCTGTTCTGAGTGCCTGCATCCTATAGGGTAGAGGCCGCCAACCATGAGTAACACAGGTGTTCTTGGACAGCAACTCCCAAAAGCCTTCACCACTAGCTGTACTGGCCAGGGTTTCTGGGAAATGCAGTCCAAGAATACCTGGGTTACCCAAGATTGGGAACCATTATTATAGAGCAGGGATCTCCAAACTTTTTACAGTGAGGGCCACACCAGATATTTTCAAAGTTTTTGAGGGCTGAAGGAACAGGAATGTGTGCACATGCATGTGTGTGCACACGCCTGCCCCCGGACCGGCCACACACCCCTACCTGCCCGGCCACACACCCCTACCTGCCCACCCACACACATGCATGCATAAATATATTCAAGTATTTATGTGAAGTATTTCCCTCAAAACATACTTCTAAACCAATTGTCTTTGAAAATGTGTATTTTCATATGTTGTGGAAGGGGCTTGAGTAGAGACCTGTGCTGCGGAATTCAGATAACACAAAAATTAGTGGATTCAGTCATCATAGTAAGATGACGGAATCAATCTGTATGAGAATTCAAACTTCTCAAAAATCTCTAATTTAAAGGCACATACATGAATATATTATGCTAGTGCACTGCTTCCCTTGCCATTAATAAATCTCTCTAAGCAGCAGGATGCGTATCTCTGTGCTTGAAGTACAGCTATTCAAATACAAATAAAATCAGATCCTTTATGAAGTTAAACACCAAGTTCATTATTATGCCCTTAGTCAATTTGGTAGCATTAGACCAGAACGGGAAAAATGTTGTAAGTACGGTATATTTAGGCAAATCCAAGCAAACCGAAGGTCCTTGGTCTAGGAATAGTTCCTATATCTTTGTGTTGGAGAGGTGAATCCATATAGTGAATTTATGTATATGCAATAGAGTCGTTATTTTATTCTAGGCTTTTGAAGAATCTCTGTGTATTACTGATCCTTCTGTGCTATGGATTCCCAACCAAGTTGAGGAAGTATCTTGGATTTTTGTCTGAATTTGAATTGAAAGGGACACTTGAACCTTGCAAGCAACTTCTGTATTAGTGCTATTGTTGATGACCTAAGTGCATTTTGTTGTTGGAACTGCTCATGTTTTTTGTTATATAACTGAGTAAGAAACTCATTTTGTGAAATTGTATTTGCATGGCTCATCAACAGATATCTGAGTAAATGAATAGGCCCATAGAACTCAAGAGTGTTACACCTGCATTGAGAAAGTACAGTACCAGATACATCCAGCATATCCACTAAGGTAAGAAAAGATTTCCAGTTTAAATCTTGGACAGCTGCAGTGATAGGAAACAACCTGGTGTTGTCCAAATGTTTTGGGCTGCTGTTCTTTTAAGCCCCAACTAGCATGGTCTCTATTCAGGGATTCTCAATGTGGCAAGTCAAAACATCTGGAAGACACTATGTTATGTACAACTGGCTGACCAATCGTCAAATTAGGCATAGATCTAAAAACATATTTCTGCTTAGGCCTGGCTTTCAAAAAGGTTTCTTACAACTGCTGTTACTGCAAAAGCTAGCCATTGTTTGAAGCATATCAAGCAGCACACAATCTAGCCCAGTTCTGAATATGAAATGCTGCACTGTAAGTCTTGCTCCTTTCAATAGGAAATATCTAGGCATACGTTCGCTGTTGAAATAAATGGAAATAACCCCGTTTTAACACAGAGCAATACTGCCTTCAAAGTCAAGGGTGGGAAAACTGTGCTCCTATAGATGTTGGTAGACGTCACCTCCCAGCATTCATCACAACTTGGTACACTTCCTAGGCCCAATGGAAGTTGCCTCTGGAGAGCCTCTGCTTTAAATCAACAAGTTTGACTGTAAGATCCCTTCAATGCAAATTTCCCTGTCATTTGCCTTGAGATCAATTGAGCTACATATTTACATGTTTTCATAACCAGTAATTAAGGGGTTGTTTGATTATCTTGATGGCACTAGAAATGGTTTTATCTATCAGATCTAAGCACTTCAATATCAACTTGGCCAGGGAATCAAACTTTGAAAACTACTAGCAGGAATCCCTGTAATTATAACCCAGCAGTTTAAGTGGTGTACACTGCAAAAACAACTAGAGTCCAACTTAAATCTTCTGATTATGAATTGCATCTTAATGTTCTTCTCTTGACATTAGAACAGAATTCTACTATACTATTCCTGAACAATGTTGTAAACAATTACTTTTAAAAAAAAAGCCCAACTTGTTTACCTTTGTTGCCCACATCTCTAACTACAAAATACTAGTAACCCTGGTAAGGATGTTTAAGAGCTCTAAACCTCTCTACAGATCAGTCAACAGAGACTCCTGATTAAAAAAACAAAAGCATACTTCTTCTGAAACGTGGTTCTTTCACTGGTTGTTAAATTTTAGCTTGGCTAAGAACAATTCTCTTTTCTCAGAAACACCCCCTTTCCTATCACCAGTCAACTAAAATTAGCCCTCTGTAGTAGTCTAGTAATGGAATGAGGCAGGTGCTTTTCCCACTGTCATTTCATGCAATACCTCCTGCCAGGATGGGAAGCAAGACTTTGAACGTCTGAAGAACATAAAAGTTGTACTGCTGAGCTAGTTTCACTTTCTACTTCGCTATTCCTCTCTTTCGTTTGCTGTTAACTGGAAACTTCTGAGCATGAGGGACCGATCGAAGGAGAGAGAGGGCACTGGCACCGCCACCAAATTCTCCCACCCACTCTCCACAGAGATAAATCACACGTCTGTGATAAGACCCCCATTCCTTCTCCGCAGCAAGCCATGCTAATTTTGATACAAGCAAAGGACACATTCCAGAACAAGGCAAGTGCTTCATCATCCACTCCTTTGGACGCATCCATGCCGCCGCCGCCACCCCCCCCAGGCTTCAGCGCACGGAGCGGGGGGATAAAGGACCCCCCAACTCACCAAACCTAGTCTTCGGACCAGTCACGTTTAAAAAGAGCCGCCATGTTAAAAAGTGCTACCCTTGCCTGCATAAATCACTCAAGAAGTCCCACGGATTTGAACGGAACTTACTCCTAATTGTTAAGAGCACAAAAGGTTCCGTAGCCTCAGCCTGTTGCAGAGAAGGAGAGACGGGCGGCTCTTTTCAGAAGCGAGGCTTAAACAGGCACGTAAATGCCATCTATTGCGGCATAAAGGCTTCCTTGCTGAAGGCAAAAAAGGACCTGCCCTCCTTAGGTGCCGGAGGCTGCCTTGCCGTGACCTCTCAACCCCACACCCGGGGGGGGGGAAGCAAGCCTAGCCTTGCGAGCCGTCACACACGTAGCCCCGGGCACCCAAGCCGGGTCCTCCAGAGCCCGGCTACCTCCTGGCCCGGTGCCTGAAGCAGAACCGGGGTGGAGGGAAGAGAGGGAGGGAGGGAGGGAGGGGGAGAAGAAGCCCGAGGCAGAGATAAAGGGAAGCGGGGCGAGAATGAGATATGACCACCGAAGCGGCGGGGAGAGGGACGCGCGAGAGGCACCCACCGGGCAGCCTCCTAACGGTTGCGAGCCCCCCCCGGGGGGGTGAGGAGCGGGGCGCGTGCAGAGGTGCCCACCTCCCTCCCCAGATGGAGACCCCTCTTTTCCCCCCGCCTGCCCGCTTTTTCCCCCCTTCCCCGCCCAACCTTGTAGGAGTCGGTCATGAGGAGGATGTTGAACTCGGCTCCCTCCGCTGCACTTTCCATGTCGCCTGGAACCGAACGAGCGGCGAGACGGTGCAGCGCGCCAGTCCAGGTCGCACAGAGAGAGCGAAGGAAGGGGGACACTCTAATATGGGCTTCGGCGCCTCTCCCGTTGCCCACTGCCAAGCGCCTCAGGGGCGGCCGGGGAGGGGGCGGGGCCGAGACGTCACGGAAGGCTGAGGGAGGGCGCCGTCTCCGCCCCCGCCCTTGATTGGACGGCGGCCTCTAGAGCGGAGGGAGGGACTGACAGAGAGGAGCTGTGAGGTCACGAGAAAGGTGGAGGGCGCGCGGCGTCTTCGCCAATTGGTTTAGAATCCCCTCCGCGGAGAGGGGGGAAGAGGTAGGGAGGGGAGTGAGGACCAATAACGTCACACAACCAGAGGGAGGCGGGGCCGGTCCCCTGGTTGAACCGGTGATTTGCAGTTCCCTTCAGGAACGAAAAAGAGACGGAGTCGAGGCATTGACGTCATAGGAGTTAACTGCCTCATTGGATGAGGGGTCCGGCGGGTGAGGGAGCAGAGGGGAGGCGGGACATGAAGGAGAAAAAGCGTGAGGCGATGCTCGGTCGGGATGGCGCGGATAACAGGGAGAGGGTGGCGCATGCGCAGCAAAAAGGCCGGGCTCCGCTTTCGATTCCGTGGGACTGAGGTCAAAATGTGCGCTGGGGACTGGCGTGAAGGGGAATGGAAAGTTAACCCGGAGAGCGAAGATCAGAATCCTGTCAGCAGTTTTTGCTGGGAGAACTTGTCCATGTGACGGATGAAAAGAGCAGTGTGATTTCCTGAAACCAGCACACAGCGTGACCCGAGCGGATCTGGATGGATTTAATGTCCCAGAATTTGCTCATGGAATTGCACACAGATCATAAGCATTGAAAACAGCAGCAACAACCCAGATACAGGTCCATAGACGTCCAGTCCCATTTTTTCCCTAATTGAGGTTGGTCCTCGTGCAATCTTGTGTATCGTGCCTGCGGTCGCTTAATTCAAGAATGGATCTCCTGTATCAGGAGCACCTGCTTAGGTCCTTGAATTTGGTGGTAGAAGCAGGACAGTGTTCTGTGATCAAGAGTAAATATTAATTCCACAAAATTTATTCCTCCCAAATAGATGAGCACAAAATGGCAAGGTAGTACGTATAACACCCAATTCCATCTGTTTCCTCTTTAGAATATAAATTGTGTATCTCCAAACCCAACCGACTCTAGTTTTTCTTATAAGTTAGATCCCTAAGTACAGTGGAAAAAAATTCCATGGACTGATTAAAAAGTGATAACGCAAAGTGTGCTGCTTACCGTATATACCAACCCATAGCACTTAAAGTACTCTCTGCAGTTTACAAGTTTATGAAGGCTACACAGACTTCGGTGTAACAGTGGAATGACTGCAATAGACAAAAGCAGCAAACTCATGTGCCGCAGTCATTAATGGCTACATAGCCAGAACTGGTCTGCTGAGAAGTAGAACGAGATAGTTCTGTATGTATGGATTTCCAGAGTTTGCAGATGTGACAAAAAGTGTAATAGAGGATTCCTCTAGCTCAGATAGCCTGGTGAGATATGAATGTGCCCAATTGGCACAGAATGAAAGGTTTGAGGATGAATGAAAACGAATGGAAAATAGAATTGTTATTGGGATGTGTGTATCATAAGACTGGCATTGTTTGGATCCACACCTTCATCATGTATTTGGCCTGTAGCTCTTGCCATCTATCAGCACTGGGGCTGTGCTTGTTACGGTTTTTGGGAGCTGCAGGTCAACAATATCTGGAGGGCCAGAGATTTCCCAGCTCTTAACTGTTCCTGTCTGGGCTTCATTTGAAGGTCAGACTTTTATCATGAAAGCTCTTAAAAGGAACAGGGCCTAGACTTCTCAAGGACCACAAGACTTTCTCCCATCCATTTCCTCCTGAGCATTCCAAAATTGTCAGTGATCCCATTCCATTCATCAGCTGAGGTGTGGTGGGTGGGTGCAAGAAGCAGGGTTTGCAAAACTTCTCAGGGTTGCAGTTCCTCCTATCATTGTAAGTCTGCTACCAGTTGCTTGAAGCACACCTTGTTTAACCCATTAGACCTAAGAGAGAAAGAATGACCTGCAGCGAGTGAGTCAGCTGGCAGAGGAGGGTCTGAGTACTCCTCCCTCCAAACTAGGCAGACAAGTCCTTTCTTTTCCTGAACATAGAAATGCAGTGGACAGTTGGAGGAGTCACTGCTTTTCATCAGTCCTCACCTAGTCCCTAGCAGAAAACAAAATTATTTCTGAATTTTGCAGGTTTATTTTCTTTTGTAGGTGTATTTATAAGGCCGATAAATGCACTTCTTTCAAGAGGATGTGATAGAAGATGATTAGTTAGGATTATATTGATTACACTGCTGATGTATTTTTATTGTATTAAGTTTATTGATGGTTCCTTGTGTAAACCTCTTGGTGCTACTTCTTAAGAGTTCTTTAGTGGACGAAAAGCAAATACATATTTTCACAAACAATGCCACTAAAGGTTATGCTCCTTGTCTGTTGAGCAAATTGTAGTTGAGGGCTTATGTCACTGAATCCAGCTTAATGCAAACCAATTCCCTAGCTTTATTTCAGGGAGAGGGTTTCTAGACTGGCTTTCATGTGTGGATGAGGGGCTGGTTTGCATTTGGCATTTCACCAGTAGTCACATCAGTAGTCAAAAGCAGAGGTCTCCAGACTATAGCCTGTAGGTCATATCCAGCCTGCCTTGCCATTTTATCCAGCCCATTCCCTTCAGCACATGCACACGTGTGTGTGCACGCATGTGGGGGGCAGCTGGGCATATGCACCCATGTTTCTGTTCCTTCGGCCCTCAAAAATGTTGACAATATCCGGTGTGGCCCTAATGGTCAGAAATTTGGAGACCCCCTGGTCTAAAGGATCACAGCTCAGAAGCATGCTTACCACATTCTCAACTGTTTGTGAGAACTAGGCTGGGATATACTGTACATTATTTAAGAGAGCAAAAAACAACACGTGGTTTTAGGGAGAGATTTTGTCCCAATGTTGTGCGTAGTCAAACAGGTTTTTCAGAATTAAACATACAATACTCAGTAAAACTTGTTTTACAAAGTGGTTACTGTGCAAAAGTACCTATCTCACTGATCCTTTTTGATATATTAAGCTGGTTGTCTCACACAAGCTATTATGTAAAAACATTCAAAATGTGTGTAATTTGGATCACAGCTGTACAATTTCCGACACGATGCAAGTTGAAGAAGTCCATGATAAGAGCAGGTTGAAAACATATATGAATAAATTCCACTTTATGTGGAGAAAAGTTTGAAAATGGATGTCTGTTGATAGACACAATGTGAAATGAGATTGCATTATAAACTACAGTACAGACTGGTCACCCTGACAGCAATCCTAGGCAAAATTCTGGAGCAGATTATAAAGCACTAAGTCTACAAGCACTTTGAAAATAATGCAGTAGTAACCAGAAACGAATATGGAATTGTCAAGTGCAAATCCTGCCAGACTAGTCTTATCTCATTTTTTGTTCAGGTAACCTCCCTGGTAGATGGTGGAAATATATCTTGCCTTCAGTAAAGCTCTTGACAAAGTGCTGCCTAATGTTCTGATTAGCAACCTCACTAGGTGTGGGTTGGATAGCACAAGTGTCAGGTGGACACACGGTTGCAGAATCGTACTCAGAGAGTGCTTATCAATGGCTCCTCAAACTGGGAGGAGACAAGTGGGGTACCACAAGGCTCAATACCGGGCCCAGTACTGTTCCACATTTGTATTAATTACTTGGATTAGGGAGTGAAATTAATGCTTATCAGTTTGTAGATGACACACAAGTGGGTGGAATAGCAAATACCTTGGCAGAAAGATCAGAAAGATCACATTAGGCTCAAGCACTGGGCTGAAAACAGAATGAAATTTAACTTTGCCCTGGAATAAGTTCTACACCTAAGGGGGCAAAACCCCAAATGCACAGTTACAAGATGGGGGATACTTGGCTCAGTAATATTTAAAGTGAGAAAGATCTTAGAACTTATAGAGATGAGGATATTCGTGTTCGTAAATGAATACGAATATCCCTGTTCCAGCCGGACCTAATGAGGGCCTGGCCCGTGGGACTGCCCCATCCACTCACATGTCCCAGCACCATGAAGGTCCTGCTTTTCCTGCCCCTTGCACCAGGAGCTCCACTGGCTCCCTGTTCAACTGGCCGCTCTACGCAAGGGGCAGGAAGATGTCTCCCTGCAGGGCTGCTGAGTCACCAGCTAAGCAGGGAGACAGCGCCGCTCCTGACGCAATTGGCGGGAAAAGCGGGACCTTTGTGGCGCTGTGATGCATGTGTGGACAGACTGGTCCTTTAGGCTGAACAATCATTAGGTCCAGCTGGGGCAGGGATATTCGTATAGATCACACAAGCTGAATATGAGCCAACAGTGTGATGGGGCTACAAAAAAAGGCCAGTATGATTTTTCGATGCATTAATAGCAGTCTCTAAATCCCATGAGGTACTAGTCCCCACTCCCTATTCAGCGCTGGTTAGGCCTCATCTATAGTATCCAGTTCTGGACACTGCACCTTAAGATGCCAACAAACTGGAGCAAGTTCAGAGGAGGGCAACAAGAATGATCAGGTGACTTTGAGAAGAGACTGACAAAACTGGGCATGTTGAGCCTTGAGAAAAGACTGAAAGGAGACTGGTAAAACTACTCCTTAAATATCTCACTGACTTTGAAAGTCCTATTAGGATTGCTGTAAGTCAGTAGGTAACACATCAGCTCCTGATATAAAGAGGCATTTGGTGGATCTTGTGTTAAGCATGTCATATACAGTAAACTGCAACTTATATTTTAATTACAAAGAGCTACCTTGAGTCCTTTATGGGAGAAAGGGGGCATAGAAATAAAACAAAAAATAAACAAACTTTGAGAGACGTAATGCATGTGGTAGTATTATGATTCCAGATTTTTTTATTGTTCTCCACAGTACACCACCTTGTATGGCCTCTGGCCAGATAGGCGGTATAAAAGATAGATAGATAGATAGATA